GTCTAATCGACATGTGCCTAGGACAGAATGGTAACTAACTAACACATACACACGCATGCACATACAACAGGCCTAGTGTCTAATCGACATGTGACTAGGACCAAATGGTAACTAACACACACACACACACACACACACACACAAACTTCATGTGCCAACACGTAAGGGACACTACAAGAGAGAGAGGAGAGGATGAACCAGCAAGGCTGGACTTAGTATTCACCTTGAGTAGTGCAGATATCGAGGACATCACATATGAAAGACCCCTTGGGGCCAGTGACCATGTGGTTTTAAGCTTCGAATACACAGTAGAGCTACAAGTGGAGGGAGAAGCAGGAAGGCCAGGACGAATGAAGCCAAACTACAAGAAAGGGGACTACACAGGAATGAGGAACTACCTGAACGGGGTTCAGTGGGACAGAGAACTGGCAGGGAAGCCAGTTAATGAGATGATGGAATATGTAGCAACAAAATGCAAGGAGGCTGAGGAGAGGTTTGTACCCAAGGGTAACAGGAATAATGAAAAAGCCAGGATGAGCCCATGGTTTACCCAAAGGTGCAGGGAGGCAAAAACCAAGTGTGCTAGGGAATGGAAGAAATATAGAAGGCAAAGGACCCAGGAGAATAAGGAGAACAGTCGTAGAGCCAGAAACGAATATGCACAGATAAGAAGGGAGGCCCAAAGACAATATGAAAATGACATAGCAGCGAAAGCCAAATCTGACCCGAAACTGTTGTACAGCCACATCAGGAGGAAAACAACAGTCAAGGACCAGGTAATCAGGCTAAGGAAGGAAGGAGGAGAGACAACAAGAAATGACCGTGAAGTATGTGAAGAACTCAACAAGAGATTCAAAGAAGTGTTCATAGAGGAGACAGAAGGGACTCCAGAAAGACGGAGAGGTGGGGCACACCACCAAGTGCTGGACACAGTGCACACAACCGAGGAAGAAGTGAAGAGGCTTCTGAGGGAGCTAGATACCTCAAAGGCAATGGGGCCAGATAACATCTCCCCATGGGTATTGAGAGAGGGAGCAGAGGCGCTATGTGTACCCCTAACAACAATATTCAATACATCTATCGAAACAGGGAGATTGCCTGAGGCATGGAAGACAGCAAATGTAGTCCCAATCTTTAAAAAAGGAGACAGACATGAAGCATTAAACTACAGACCAGTGTCACTGACATGTATAGTATACAAAATCATGGAGAAGATTATACAGACCAGTGTCACTGACATGTATAGTATACAAAATCATGGAGAAGATTATCAGGAGAAGAGTGGTGGAACACCTAGAAAGGAACGATCTCATCAACAGCAGCCAACATGGTTTCAGGGACGGGAAATCCTGTGTCACAAACCTACTGGAGTTCTATGACATGGTGACAGCAGTAAGACAAGAGAGAGAGGGGTGGGTGGATTGCATTTTCTTGGACTGCAAGAAGGCGTTTGACACAGTTCCACACAAGAGATTGGTGCAAAAACTGGAGGACCAAGCAGGGATAACAGGGAAGGCACTACAATGGATCAGGGAATACTTGTCAGGAAGACAGCAGCGAGTCATGGTACGTGGCGAGGTGTCAGAGTGGGCACCTGTGACCAGCGGGGTCCCGCAGGGGTCAGTCCTAGGACCGTGCTGTTTCTGGTATTTGTGAACGACATGACGGAAGGAATAGACTCTGAGGTGTCCCTGTTTGCAGATGACGTGAAGTTGATTAGAAGAATTCACTCGATCGAAGACCAGGCAGAACTACAAAGGGATCTGGACAGGCTGCAGACCTGGTCCAGCAATTGGCTCCTGGAGTTCAATCCCACCAAGTGCAAAGTCATGAAGATTGGGGAAGGGCAAAGAAGGCCGCAGACGGAGTACAGTCTAGGGGGTCAGAGACTACAAACCTCACTCAAGGAAAAAGATCTTGGGGTGAGTATAACACCAGGCACATCTCCTGAAGCGCACATCAACCAAATAACTGCTGCAGCATATGGGCGCCTAGCAAACCTCAGAACAGCATTCCGACATCTTAATAAGGAATCATTCAGGACCCTGTACACTGTGTACGTTAAGCCCATATTGGAGTATGCGGCACCAGTTTGGAACCCACACCTAGCCAAGCACGTGAAGAAACTAGAGAAAGTGCAAAGGTTTGCAACAAGACTAGTCCCAGAGCTAAGAGGTATGTCCTGCGAGGAGAGGTTAAGGGAAATCAACCTGACGACACTGGAGGACAGGAGAGATAGGGGGGACATGATAACGACATACAAAATACTGAGAGGAATTGACAACGTGGACAAAGACAGGATGTTCCAGAGATTGGACACAGTAACAAGGGGGCACAGTTGGAAGCTGAAGACACAGATGAATCACAGGGATGTTAGGAAGTATTTCTTCAGCCACAGAGTAGTCAGTAAGTGGAATAGTTTGGGAAGCGATGTAGTGGAGGCAGGATCCATACATAGCTTTAAGCAGAGGTATGATAAAGCTCACGGCTCAGGGAGAGTGACCTAGTAGCGATCAGTGAAGAGGCGGGGCCAGGAGCTCGGACTCGACCCCCGCAACCTCAACTAGGTGAGTACAACTAGGTGAGTACACACACACACACACACACACACACACGCATGCACGTACAACAGGCCTAGTGTCTAATCGACATGTGCCTTGGACCAAATGGTAACTAACACACACACACACAGTTCCGATCCCTCAGTAAGGAACCGTTCAAGTCACTGTACACCGTGTACGTGAGGCCCATACTGGAGTATGCAGCACGTGTTTGGAACCCACACTTGATCAAGCACGTCAAGGTTAGTTCCAGAGCTAAGGGGAATGTCCTATGAAGAAAGGTTAAGGGAAATCGGCCTGACGACACTGGAGGACAGGAGGGTTAGGGGAGACATGATAACGACTTACAAAATACTGCGTGGGATAGACAAGGTGGAGAGAAACAGGATGTTCCAGAGAGGGGACATAGAAACAAGGGTCACAATTGGAAGCTGAAGACCCAAATGAGCCAAAGGGATGTTGCGAAGTATTTCTTCAGTCATAGAGTATTCAGGAAGTGGAATAGCCTAGCAAGTGAGGTAGGGGAGGCAGGAACCATACATCGCTTTAAGATGAGGCATGATAAAGCTCATGGAGCAAGGGAGAGAGAGGACCTAGTAGCACTCAGTGAAGAGGCGGGGCCAGGAGCTGAGTATCGACCCCTGCAACCACAATTAGGCGAGTACAAACACGGACAGACATACACACGCAGCGAGCTTGTAAATTCTTGCCAGCGTTTCGATCCTCTGCAATCCATGGACAGGTTGCAACTGTTTATTGCAGTTTTCCGTTTTCACACACACACACACACACACACACACACACACACACACACACACACACACACACACACACACACACACACACACACACACACACACACAAACAGGCCTAGTGTCTAATCGACATGTGCCTAGGACCAAATGGTAACTAACACACACGCATGTACATACCACAGGCCTAGTGTCTAATCGACATGTGCCTAGGACCAAATGGTAACACACACACAGTAACCGGTGAAGTGCCTAGGACCAAATGGTAACACACACACAGTAACCGGTGAAGAAGCGGGGCCAGGAGCTAAGACTCGACCCCTGCAACCACAAATAGGTGAGTACACACACACATACACACACACACACACACGCATGCACATACAACAGGCCTAGTGTCTAATCGACATGTGTCTAGGACCAAATGGTAACTAACACACACACACACACACACACACACACACACACACACACCTGAGAACAGCATTCCGATACCTTAATAAGGAATCATTCAAGACACTGTACACCGTGTATGTCAGGCCCATACTGGAGTATGCAGCACCTGTTTGGAACCCGCACTTGATAAAGCACGTCAAGAAACTAGAGAAAGTACAAAGGTTTGCGACAAGGTTAGTTCCAGAGCTAAGGGGAATGTCCTATGAAGAAAGATTAAGGGAAATCGGCCTGACGACACTGGAGGACAGGAGGGTCAGGGGAGACATAACGACATATAAAATACTGCGTGGAATAGACAAGGTGGACAAAGACAGGATGTTCCAGGGAGGGGACACAGAAACAAGAGGCCACAATTGGAAGTTGAAGACACAAATGAGTCAGAGAGATAGTAGGAAGTATTTCTTCAGTCATAGAGTTGTAAGGCAGTGGAATAGCCTAGAAAATGACGTAGTGGAGGCAGGAACCATACACAGTTTTAAGACGAGGTTTGATAAAGCTCATGGAGCGGGGAGAGAGAGGGCCCAGTAGCAACCGGTGAAGAGGCGGGGCCAGGAGCTAAGACTCGACCCCTGCAACCACAAATAGGTGAGTACAAATAGGTGGGTGAGTACACACACATACGTAGCGGAAAATACTTTACATAAGGGTTGCAAAGACAAATATGGCCAGCAGCACACAAAACTATACGAAACTAGAACACTACTTAATTTCCTGAGTCATGAAAAATAGTATATGACATGATAGGCAGAACACTTAAGCATTTGCAGGTAACAAAACATTCACAGCACATGACATATGAAGAAGTTTTATGCACTTGTGGCTGACATAATACTCACAGTATATAGCATATGAAGAATCCCTCAGTACTTGCGACTTATATAACGCCTAGGTTTCTCAGTGCAGAATGAAAAACTTGTCTATGATAGAGCACAACACTTAGGTACTATATCCGAATTGAAACCTCACGTACGGCAGACCTGAATATATAATAAGGCAGCAGATATACCAGAGTGGGAGGATTAAACAATGCTCCGAGGGGCAGATTGTGAGGATTTTGTAGGCGTGAAGGCTGTTAGCAGCAAACAGCCTGGTTAATTAACCACACAGTTAACAAGAAAATATGTCTTCAGGCTTGGCAGCTAGAGACGAAGAACCCTTGAAAATGATAACAGGTGTGTCACGGATGTCCCATAAGTGAGCATACCGCCTTAAACTAATTAGCAGTACTCACGGAGAGGTTGGAAAGAAGGCTCTGGAGGTGAGACCTAGGTAGTCTGGGTAAGCGTAGGCGTGTCGGTACATATTGGGCCTTTTCATCCTCCGTCGGCGCTTGTAGTTACCGTGCTCGAACATGTCTTCGTGCATTGGATCTGTGTGGAGCAAGAAAACAACGTCATAGGAGTAAAATAAATCACGATAACGTGGCTGGAACAATTAATAAACAACCTGCAAATTGAGCGGACCGAAACATAGTCCAGTTTGCATTATAAGTTTATAGGGTAACAGAATTCCTCTGGTTAGTCGCGAGGTCTATTATCTTCCTTATTAAACCATCTTCAGTGTTTTTAATATATACCGCGACTCATTAATGACTGGCACCTACGTACTTTGGAATTATTGACAGCTAGGTTCCACATTGCAATTAACACCTACCTTGCACTTATTTAGAGTCAGCGTCTACTTTGTTACCTTACAATTATTGATATCTATCTGCTAACTTGTAGTTATTGAAATATGCCTCCTACCTCCCATTCCCACACAGTGGCAACCAAAATCTGTTTTTAACTTAACAGCTGCTAAAATATAGTATTCAAAAGTAGATCATAAGGACCTACCTAGCGTCCAGTAGTTGCCCTTGCCACCGCCTCCGCCCCCCTCCCGCGGGGTCTTCACGAAACATTCGTTGAGGCTCAGGTTATGGCGGATGGAATTCTTCCATCCCTGCTTCTCCTTGGCGTTTTGCTGGGCGTAGAAGGGAAATTTTGTGGCGATCCATTGGTAGATTTCACTCAGCTGAGAAAGGCACCGTTAAGAGATTGTATTTCAGTGTATAAATATCCTGTGCAGTTATATAATGTAAAAGTTGGTTAGTTGGTTAATTGTGTTTAAAACCTATCAAGGGTCATTAAGACTGCATGCAATCTACTCACCACGAGCCAAGAGTACTTTAATCTCTAAAATAGTGATCAAACTTTCGGTGTACATAGATTGAGATAAACACCTCTCGGTGAAAAAAAACCCCGCCCGTGGTATGGTTTGTTTGCAATCGTGTCATTACGATTTCGTGAGTCACCTCTCGGTGTATATCTCCTTCATCGGGAAAAATCAAGTAACATATAAGAAACTTGGGGCCATATAAAGATTTTACCTCTCCTTTCTCCCAGAGTAAAACACTGAGACATAATTATGAAAATTATTATATAGGCCATGTAAATTAAATAGCTTTATGTTACATAAGTTATAGCAAAGTGAGGTTAGGTTAGTTTTCCTTCAAAATAAAGCGAATCTTCAGGTGACCTGATTCTGGCTTATTCTAAATTTCCTAAAAATATTGTTAAGAATACAGTAGTTTAATATGTTTAAATGACGCGTATTACTTAGTGTTACTTACAGTAAATTAAATGTTAATTTTTCGATAGATTAATTTACGCAGTTATAACACACACACACACACACACACACACACACACACACACACACACACACACACACACACACACACACACCACACACACACACAACACAACACACATACACACATACACACACACACACACACACACACACACACACACACACACACACACACACACACACACACACACACACACACACACACACACACAACATTGTTATTTAATATTGCTGGGACTACAGCGCATATTTTCTATCTAAATCCTCTCGTCTTCCGAACAACATTAGCATCTTGCATTGCATAATCAGGTTATTAGTGTTGTTGTTAGTGCTACATCAAATGCTGAAGTCACCTTTATCTTTAGTCCAGAATTCCGACCTCTTCGTAACTGTCATCTCGCACTTGAAATTCTCTCAAATACTCCACTTTAGATTCTTACGCTATCTCTGTTTATTATTTACACACTCTCATCATTCTCTTTCTCTCCCGAGTTTCATATGACCTATGTTTCGTACTCGAATGTGCCTTGTACACGTTTGATTTTTTAAGATTTTGTATTGAATTTTTTCTTCTTGTGAAACTTTGGTGTGTTGCTCTCATAAACATTGTAATCAGTGCAGCAAATAAATTCATATTTACTGAAGTTTTGGAGAGTGTGCGAGTGCTTGTGTGTACATACAACCTGGTGTGTGCGTGTCTGTTTGTTCCCTTTGTAGTGTGAAAGAATAATTCGAATAAGTGAGAAACTTTATACGACGTTTCGGTACGTCCTTAACCGCGAGTAGACCAAGAAGGACCGAAACATCGTCAACAGTTTCTTCTCAGAATTGTGGGTTAATTGTCATTTTGTTTTAGTCACATTATTGTGACTTATTTTACTTTACGTTTACTCTCTAAATCCATGCAGCTGAGCGCTCTGGTTCGGACAGAACTTGGTGAAATCATTAAAAAAGGATGATAAATTAAAGACAGTATTTAAAAACAGCCCTAATGACGGGGTATCGCACTCATCTCACATGCTGAGTGTCCATGGTTCGATTACCGGCACGAGTGGAAACGTTGGGCATGATTCCTTACCTCTGCTGCGCCTGTTCATCTAGCAGTAAATAGGTACCTGGATGCTAGTCGACTGTTGTGGGTCGTATCCCAGGGGGTGATAGTATACCTTAGATAAGTCTGAACTTTGAAATAAACTCTTAGCCTGTAAAATAGATCTGGGTAAAAAAAAAAATTCCAGCGCTATTTTTCGAAAGAAAGGAAGTTTTCAGTTGGCCAAGCCTCAGGTAATACATTACCATCATACTGAATCTTTCTACTTGTACCGCACCTAACTGCCACATCTGACTCTTCCTTCTGCCTTTTTACGATGCTCTCCTCAGCTATCTCTACCGACTTGAAAAAAAAAATGTTGTACAAATAAAACGTTGTCGTCTTGACGAAAATGTATAACGTGTGATGTGCGATCGAGTTGTATCATGTGGCTTCAGCATCATCTGTTCTTTCACCATTAGTTCTTTTGTCTTTCTCTGTTGACTGCCTTCCATTTTTCCTTCGCCATTTCCATCCTCTCAACTGTTTTTCCTCCCACCGCTTTTTCTTTTATTCTTAACTGCCTTGCTTCCTCCGTCCTTTCTTTCCTTCTACCCTTCCTTCTCCTTCTTTTCTCTTTTACCTCCTCCTTTCCTTCCTCTCCCCCTTTCTCTATTTATCTTCTTCCCTTTTTACCTTTCCAGTCTTCACCTTCATTTTCTTCTTCCATTCATATCCGTCTTTTCTTTCCCTTCGCCTTCTTACTTCCTTCTTCTTTCACTTCCATCCTTCTTCCTTTCACCTTCATCCTTCTCTTTACCTATATCCGTCTTCCCTTCACCTTCATTCTTCTCCCTCCTTTAACCCCCTCCCTCCCTTTACTTGCCTTCCTTCTTTCCTTCCTTCCTGTTTCTGCTCACCTGTAGTTTTCTCTCCGGGCTTTCCTTGATGGCCATAGCGATGAGGGCGACGTAGGAGTACGGAGGTTTCTTGTTGGGATCAGAGTCACTTGTGTCTCTCGTGTTCTCTTCCTGGAAGATATAAACCAGGAACAATAAGTTTCTGTACAAGAAGTTTTTGTTTATTTCCCAGTGTGAGTGTTATATGGTCATTAACGTTCTTTCTAACCTGTAAACCACCAATCACCAATTAAGATTATACAGTTCTTAAAATAAGGGTTAAATTAAACTCTGTGTATGTACACTGAGAGATGCACGCCTCTTGGTGTATATATCCTTCACTAAAGATATCTTTTTGTAATTGTAGATGAGTTTTTACTACGTAAAAAATTATTTTTTATTAATATTGCATTATTACTATAAAAATAAATATTTTGTTTTGATAGGTCTTAAGTTTGTATATAATGTGAAATTAGCATAATCTTTAGTTTTATTTGTTAGCGTGATTCTGAGATTGCAACAAGGATATGGGGCTTTGGAGAGGATTCAGGAATGTACTAAGGAGGGTACTGAATAGCAATAATCAGGAGGATAGTCTACCCGAGATATATAAAACATAGGAGAACCAACGGGACAGCTCCCTCAGAGCGGGAATGTGAATGAGAGGCTATTGATAATATCCAAAACATTCAAATTTCAGCAAGTGACTCGGATATGAGTGTAGACTCGCTGGAAAAGGTACATGTAACCAGAACAATAAAACCCCCTTCCCCACAGCCTCCAGTCTTAGTATTGATTTGGCTACAAACCCCACTACAAGCTCCATTATAATTTAGTAGCACAGAAGTCAGTTACAATCATTGTAAACGAAATGGTCCCCAACCCGGACTCAATAAAACAGGGATATCGTAAAAAAAAAAAAGTGTCGGCACTACTGCTGGTTAATTTGCAAATGTAGACCAGCTGCAAAAAGAAATGGTATGTGTAAATATGACAACCCAAGGAAATGCCATACTCTTGAATAAAGGAGTATGTCATTTCAAGACTTGCACATACTTCCACCCGTCATTGTGTCATGACTCTATACAAGGGTCACTACTTTTATACAAACTACTCAGCATTCTGTGTGAAGGAAACGAAGACTGTAAGGTAACATGAACATACAAATGTTCATAGAAATTCAAACCATGTTGGCAGCAGTGATTTTCTAGTACCAGGAAACAGAATAGAATGGCAACAAGTGGTAAGAACATATCGCCACCCAGGAACATCCTGTACTGAAAAGAAAGTCATTGGCGGGCTCACTGGAGCCATACATATTAAATCCAAGAAAAAGGCCCTCAGCACAGTGACAAATAACGTATAACATCATTTGTTTTTGCAAGCATTCAAGGTCTTAAACCGAGTAACAACAACAAAATACAATTTATCAGTGGTCTTCTCACTGAGTCCAATGCAATGTTTGCTGTGTTTATGGAAACCTATGTAAAAACTACTTAGACAACGAAATTTGGGCTCCTCGGTACAATCTACTCAGGTGTGACTGGAAAAACAAACAAGGAGGGGAGATGGTCTGTATGCTAAAGAGTCGCTCATATGCACCGAGTTAATACCACAAATGATGTGGTTGAAGCTCTGGTGGTTAAAATTCAAAATAAAAAACTAGCAATTGTAATTGTATATAGCCCACCAGATGCAACTTTAAAACAGTTCAAAGACTATTAAAATTGAGCACTATCTTGAGGACATATCAAACCCAGCTCCAATTTTACTATTGCTTGGAGACTTCAATCTAAGGCACCTAAAATGAAAAAAAAAAGAACGCAACAAAGACTGTAATGGCAAAATCAATCTCAGGAGCCTGTTTGGATGAACAGTCTCACACAGTTGAACTACTAAGACTGCAACAAATTAAGAATGCTAAGTTATAGCAGTTGAAACGTGTTTTTGAGAAATGCTTAGGATTTTACCTTTTTACTGCCGTTGGATCCGCGTGATGGAGATTTTTCTGGGGTTTCTGGGATGGATGAAGGTGTGTCCAGCGATTGCACAGTCTTCTCGTATGTGGTCGAGTCCACCGGCTCGATCACCTTTGAGGAGTCGTATTGTCTCTCGTAAGACGTCGGGTCCGACGTTTCGAGAGTCTTGTAAGTTTTCTCATAGCATTTCTCGTATGACCCATCATCTATTTGCGACTCCAAGTGGATTTTAGTGGCATACATTTTGTCGTATGATTTGACATCGTGACTGTCGTAGGTTGTGTTTTCCATCTGGTCTAAGGACATTTTCTCGTACTCCTTTCCCCCGTAGAGCTTGTCGTAGGCTTTTGAAGTGTCGTAGAGTTTACTATCATACATTTTGGGTGCGTCGAAGACATGCGGGGTGCTGGTGGAATTGATTTGATCGTAGGTTTTGACGGAGGCATGATGCTCTGGGTCAGTGGTGGGCATGTGCATGAGTTTTGGGTACATGTCCGGTCTTGATACAGTGGTAGAAAGCGGAGTATCAACGTCATGCCATTCGACAAGGAGAGAGAAAATGCAATTAAATACACAAATTACTGTACCACAAACAATATGTGTACAAATGGCTACCTTTTCCATAAAGCATTCAACGTTCAAATATATATCACATGATGGTATATAAACATTTTAAAGATACACATATAAATAATCCATATCCATTTAAAATATATAAAATAATATTGCATAAGTGTAATAGGATTGGCAAATAAGCTGATAGGTACAATAAAGCTCATCAATAAACATTTATGAAAACTAGAGTTGCACTAGTTGATCTCAAGTGATGGTTGCCATGAGATAATTACAGTAACTGAAATTAAACTAAACTGTCAGTATCAAGGAAGCAATATTTTGTTTCTTGCACAGAGTTGTGCGACATGCAAATTTCTACTCTTGAGTAAATGTTCATGTATCAAGTGATATAAAGCTCTATGACCAAGTATATCACAAGTTTAGCTTTCCATAGTGGCGATTGTAATAAGGCATGATGGTGATGAAAGTTTGCTATAACGATAGTTTTTTGTTGTGATATGGGAAAGATACAGTGGTTACCCGTAATACCAGTTGGTGAGGTTACTCACTCGTAATGGTGGTTAGTGTGATAGTTATGATACCTATATGTATTCCTGTGTGTGATATATCTGCGACTGATTTCGAGAGTTTTACTGTTATTATGCCAGTGGTACCCCCTGCTTTTCACTAGGTCTATTTTACACCTCCCGTCTCTCACTTTAGTACTTTGTTATGGAAGTGTGTAAGCTCACAATAGATACTAGGTATTTCTCTCTACCACTGCAGAGAGTAAGTTTTAAGTACTTAGAGGCGTTCTTAGAAGTTTAAATGCTTTATTAACTTTAAACGAAGTTTGTATCTGTTTCAACTCAGATCTCTCCTGCCCTGAACAAAACCGTCGACGCTGATCGGTATTTTAAGTGAGATAACGTAAGTGATTTGAAATGTCACCATTGGTAGTATTTGTCTTGCCATGAAAGTTGTCATTGTCCACCCTGTCATTTTCATGGTTTTTGCAACATTTGTCATATTGTGTTCTTTAAATGATACGTCAGCTGACATTATATTCAGGCTCTTTCATTTGTTCCTTTCATTCTATCAGTTGGTCCTCTTGTGTTTTGTATACATTGCCGCTTTTGAGTTCTTCATTCTTTTCACATCTGAACAATTGGCATTGTCACCATTAAAAATCAAGTTATTTTCTACCGCCCATTGAAAGTCTGCTTATATCTTATATACTTATTTTAGTATCATCTTCCAAGACTGATGTGAAACTGTGGCTATAGTGTTTTTATCTGTGTCTGTTATGGTAATTAAAAAAAAAGTAAAAGTGCCAGTACCATGCGTTGGGATACTGAATATTTTAACCTAATTAGTTAAGAGTAGATTATTCCTTATTTACCACTGCTCTTTGTGTTTTATTCATCAGAAAATTTAATATCCAACTGCTTAGTTTTCATTTTATATTTGATCTTGTTTAATAGACTATCATTCCATGATGGCATATGTAAAATGCCTTTGCGAGGTCCGTACAGACCACATCTGCTTTGATATTTATCCAGAGCCTCCGTGAACTTGTCGCGTTGGTTTAGCATTTATGACAGGCATAATCTTCTTGCTCTAAATCCATGATGATTTGGGTTGTACTTTACTATAGGTTTGTAATTTGGTGACTCACTATCGTATTAAATAAAGGCTTTAATAATGTGTGATGTTAATGCTACTTGCCGGTAATTTTGTCTAAGTTTTACTACGCCCAGGGTGCAGAGGAGCTATGTCTGCATTTTTAGAACTTTTAAGATTTCACCTAGATCTAGACTCTAGAATACATGCAAGTGGAATTTTGCACTTCATTGAAAATAAAGAATTCCATGAATCCATCCCAGGGGCTGCATGTGTCGGCATGTAATGGTAGTTGCGACAGTGACTATGGTTACCTGTAATGGTAGTTGGTATTACATATTAAGATACTTAACAATAATGGTAGATGGTGTGCTATAGCTACCTATAATGGTGGTTAGGGTGTGGTGTGGGGGTTGCGTAGTGGTAGGCTTCGTCTTCCCTCTTGATGACATCTGCCAGCTCGCCTCCACCGTAGCCTGTATGGGGAACACACACACAACCCTGCTCAGAGCTAGTCTCAACACCCCACCAGATAAAAACTTTACAATAAAGAAAACTGTAGAAACTAAAATAAAAACAGATAAAGAAAAAGAGTAATAACAGCATTAAGGTTGAGGTATAAGAAGTGTAGATGAGAAATATAACAAAGATAGTATGCTTTTGAGTTTCGAGAGCTTGTATTTATACTTTCGGAACCCGGTCCTGGGCTAGGCTTTTCTGGTGCTCGCTTGGTCAACGAGGCTGTTGGTCCATATATCTATCACAGCCTGGTTGATCTAGCACTTGTGGCGATACTTGTCCAGTTTTCTCTTGAATACTTTTACACTTGCCCCAGCAGTGTTTCTGATATCTTCTGGTAAGATGTTGAATAGTCTGGGTCCGCGGATATTGACAACGTTCTCCTGTTGTGCCCACGGTGCCCCTGTTTTTCACTGGGTTTATTTTTCACTTCCTTTCATATCTTTCACTCCAGATATGGAACTAGGCCCTAAAGTACTTTTAACGGATGTATTATGTTTCTCTCCTCCGATCCAGCGAGTACATATTTAGGACTTAGAGGCATTCCCAGTAATTTAAATAACTGGTGTTTGTTCCATTTATGATATCTCCTCTTATCCTGAACGGGGCCGTCGACGCTGGCCAATACTCTAAACAAGAGAGCAGAAGCGATTTGAAAAATGTCACAATTGATACTATTTCCCTTGTTTTCAAAGTTCTCATTATCCATCTAGTCGTTTTTCTAAATCTCGTGACATTGCCTTATTGTGTTTGAAAGAAAGGTTAACCTATTTATTTACTCCCAGGTCATTCACGTGTTCATTGCGTTCTATTTAATGATCCTCCTGGGTTTTGTATACAATGGATGCGTGAGAGATAATGCAAAGAATAGATGCATGAGAAATAATACCAAGAATAGATGTATGAGAAATAATACCAAGAATAGATGTATGAGAAATTATACAAAGATTAGATGTATGAGTAAAAATACAAAGAGTAGATGTATAAGAAATAATACAAAGAATAAATGTGTGATAAATAATGCAAAGAGTAGATGTGTGAGCATTTATACAAAGAGTAGATGAATGAGAAACAATACAAAGAGTAGATGTCCAAGAAATAAAAGAAAGAGTAGCAGTATGAGAAATATTGTCAAGATAGGCAGACCCTGTTTATATACAGCGATTATCGTAAGTGTTGTGCCATATCACCCACACAAATATCTAGTTTATTTACTTCAGTAATGCTTATGCTAACCTATTCCGAACACATGTAACTCTAACGTGACTCACGAAATCGTAATGACACGATTGCTGGAGTTTTGAGACTCTCTGACCGCGGGTTCAATCCCGGCCGGGGTATGGTTTATGACATGTAACTCTATTTTCCAATTAGCGCTTATCTATTTGTTTTCTGACTTTAAACTTTTCTAATTTTAACCCTTTGTTTCGATCTCTTTTGAATTGTTATTTTAAGAACCTTATTTATATTTTCTTAATTATATGCTTTCACAAAGTTGTACACTTCATTAATGCCACTATGCACTCAAAAAATACAAATTTAATTTTTATCTACCTTTGATATAAGTTTATGCCTTTGATGTTTTTCGAGTTTTCCTACTCCTGCAGCCCGGCCCTGAGCCATGCTTGTCTGGTGCTTGCCTGGCAACCAGCCTGTATCATGACTCAAGAAATCGTAATAACACGATTACAAACAAACCACAGAACGGGTGGGATTTGAACCCATGGCGAGTGAGTCGTAAAACAAAATGTCAGTGCGTAAGCCACTCGGCCGAGTGACTTAAGCACTGGCTTGGAGTTTAAGGACTCACTCTCCATGGGTTCAAACCCACCCGTTCCGTGGTTTAACCTGCCACGGCTCTTACTGATCTCTGTCGCACTCCTACAACCACCTTTGTCCCTTGTACTCCATCTCTCCTCTCTCCTTAGTTAGCATATAGTTGAAACAGACCAGAGCCTCTGACAGCAAGCCAGAACACATATAAGGCGTTCCTAACATCATCATCCCCCATGAAAGGGAAATAGTTTTAAAGACAAAGTTATAAAGACAAAGATACTGGTTGCAGAAAAAGTTTTATTAGGACAGTGTTTCGCTCGAGTCATGTCTTGATAAAACGAAACGTCTCAATAAAAGTTTTATGTGCAACTTTTTTCTGTTTTCATGAGTAGGAATGGTTGAGTGAACAGGAAATGCTTAGTTCGGACCATTTGGCGTAACACCCTCCATGTTGTCTAGGACTGCTTAGTGAAGCATTTATTAGAAAACCAACATGAGTAGCCGAATAATACTTCGTAAAGAATTTGTTAAAAAACCAACATGAGTAGTCGAAAATTACATTGTAGGGCATTTGTTAGAAAAATCTATTTGAACAGTAAGAGGACTGATTTGTAGGGTTTTTATTAGAAAATCTACATGAGAATAAAAAAGTTAGAATAGTGGAGCACTGCAGCTGGTCTGTTGGTCTGCTGTAGTGCACGCCTTTTCCTGCGTGCGCTCCGAATCTGCAACAATGAGTTCCTTGAGGAAGAATGCTCGCTAATTGAACAAGTATTTTCTAAACTTCACTATCTTCGGCACTTCATTAGAGACTGCAGACGCCGGGCATATAACATCTTCAATACACATAGAGAAGACACTGCGGAGAGAAGAGACATAGTCCTCCCCACCAACTCCATTGCCAAACACGTTTCCAACATCTTTTCCAATACCTCATTCCAAGTATCTACCTCCACTTCCACCACAATCAAGGACATTACCAGTAGCCAAGTGCATGGGGTGCATAGTGTGTGTGATGTGGAGCTAGAGAGAGAGAGAGAGAGAGAGAGAGAGAGAGAGAGAGAGAGAGAGAGAGAGGAGAGAGAGAGATCTGTCATTTCAGCAGCCTTCAACACACGAGGGATGTGGGTGGCCTTACTGTTATGTACAAGGTCAATATTGTCAAAGTACCACACTTGGATCCACTTCGAGGACAGCGAGAAGCCAGCTTCTGTACCACAAGACTGGCAGAAAGCAGCAACTTCACTCTGGCTGTACCCTTATCCAGAACATCACTTCATCTGAGATTATTTATCCCCAGGATGACTCAAGTCTGGAACACATTCGTACAGTGTTATGATGTCAGCGAAATAGTCAGTTGATCAAATGAAATGCTGGTCCACAGATGGCTCCAACTTCATCCTGTTCCCTACCTGTATGTTTCATAACAATAAAAATGCTTTCAAATGAGCTGATGTAGGTAACAGCTCTTAGCTTGTCAATAAAGTTGGGAATTCTTTACCTGTAAATAGCTTGTCAATAAAGCTAGGGACCCTTAACCTAACTTTGTCAAACCCTGTGTAAAAAAGAGAGAGAGAGAGAGAGAGAGAGAAATTGAGGCGAAAGAAGAGAAAGAAAAGCAAAGATATCCAGTGCCATCTGAATGTTTGTTTATTTATCCTGGGGCAGTGACACGGACTGAGTTGTTTCCGTGGTCGACGCCGGGGCCGCCAACAGCCAAGTGTCATAATGTATCGCCTCCTCTTAAAACCTCCTCTTGCCACAATATCTAACAGGCAAGTCACTCATTTAAAGAGAACACATACAACTTTACCCTTGTAAAGCATTTTGATGTTTATTAATGTTTTTGAAGGGCTAATACAGTCCTTCAAAACATGAATACTATAATAAGTTATTAATAACACGTTCCTCATTTCTTACGTTCATTTATACATATTTTCAGAAAACACAAAAATGATGGGTTAAGAAATGTGTGAGTAGAAATACTTAGGTAAAGTTTCAAATTATTTATTACATAATTATCATATTCATATATGGGACTATAGGCACATCTGTTGAGTTGTATCAGATATTCCATGTATTTGTATTGGTTGTTAGTTTTGATAAAAATGTAAACAGTCTTGTTTTACTTAAATGAGTTGCTGAGGCGTCGGGAGGAGAGAGTGGAGGTCGGTGTAGGCCCGGGCTGGAATACTCACTATGGATATGTTCGCTGGGGGCCAGATAGTCGTCCTTCATCTTGCTGTAGAAGTGAAAAAATCCAAGGGTTAAATTTTATGACAATGGCTAAATAATTTGTTTTAACTCACATGAATTTACACGATATACATGAATTCCTTACCGCAGTTGACCCACTGCTTGATTTGATCCACCACTTTTTTGTACATATTCAACATGCTGAAGAGAGCCTAATTATGAGGCCGAAATATAGTGCTTTTTTTTCCTCCTGAGTTACTTTTTCCACGTGTATTCATTTGTACCATTGAATATTAACACTTGTGCAACACCCGGGTACCTTTATTGATGAGACTTTTCGCCACCCAGTGGCTTTTTTTTTTTTTAAACCCAGTGCAAAGACTGTATACTGGAGACACGACAAAAGTGAGGAGATAATCTTGAGTTGTTCAGTCCCTCAGCCTTGATAAGTGTTCATTCCCTTAACTTTGACGAATCTAAAGCGGATGCATGAAGATAAAGACTTGTATACTGGAACCGGAAGAGAGGTGCCGCAATTGAAGATATCGTCACAGGTGGACGAGACTCAATAGCAGAAGAGGTCGTGTCAAAGTATTGGTTCAAAGGTTAGTAAGTTTTATACGATATCCTCTGTATCAAGATTCCACGGTGTTGCTTTGTCATACAAGTATCATTGCATTAATTTATGATATTGTGTATCATTACATTAAATAATTGTACCGTATACCATTAATGTAATGAAAAACACCATAACATTAATGGTGTTGTATACTATTAATATAATGACAAGTATTATCACATTATTAATGGTATTATATATCATTAATATAATGATGCTTGTCTGAAACTTTGACACCATGGAATCTTGATATAAAGAATATCATCTACAGCTCTATTGCTGACCAGACCTACTTGGAGTTCATTACCTTTGTAAATTGTGAGTTCATTACCTTTGTAAATTGTGAGTTCATTACTTCTGTAACTTGCTCAGCTATCAAAACTTTGGAGTCCAGTCCCTGGACCAATTATGGACCTCTGTAATCTTTTGACTACCGCCCACAGGATGGGTATGGGGTGCATAATAAACATATTAAACTAACTAACCCCTGGCCCATCTCTTGCACATGACCTACTTCCGTTAGTGGGTAGTGACGATATCTTCAATTGCTGCACTTCTCTGGCTCCGGTATATAAGTCTCCATCCTTGTGGTTGTTTTTGATGTGGTTGTAGTTGTTGTGGTTGTTGTCCTGAGTCTATAGTACTTAGGGAAGCAGCCAAATATGGCTGGGGTTCTCATAAAACCCTGTGGGGTCTCATCAAGTTTGGAGAAGCCTTGATAAAATAAACAGTATCCAACCATTTAATAATGACCAGCAGAATTTTATAAATAACTCTTACTTTAAACTATCTTTCAGATTGATAGGGAAGGTATATATATCATTAAATAGTAAGTGTTCAAATAAACTTGGTCTCATGGGTGTAAATAAACCGGGGTACTGGGGCCGGTGTTGAATTACCGGGCGCGGCCATGTCCTCTCTTCTGCGTCACCCAGCCACTCACATTATCCCTTGACAGAGATCTCCGTCACCGTTACATCCTAACTGCTTTGGTGTACGCCGTCACCACCACAGTGTAATTACACTCTTGTTGTACATCGTCTTGGTGTACATCATCCCCATCCTTGGTGTGCTCCATCATCACCACAGCATAACTACGCTTAATGTGCACCATCGTTTCCAAAATATAGCTATGCTTATGGTGTGTACACCGTCACTACCACATACCTGTAATATGCCTGTGACCAATTTCACATCCCGGTCTGAGTCTAGGCTTCCCTGTTGAGTGCCTGGTGAACCAGCTTGGTTGTCCTAGCGGCCCGCAGGCCCCCACAACCTTCATAACCTGAATGAGCCGGCACGTGTAGCAGGAAGCTGTCCAGCTTCTTAAAAACTTTTGCCTTCGTTCCGGCAGTATTTCTGGTATATGCATGTAGTGGTTGAAGAATTTTAACTTACGGATATTGTTACAGTATTCTCCAATTATAAAAATGACTTCTTCCTCTTTACTGGGTTTATTCTACACATTCTTCCATATCATTCACCCTAGTAAGTTATAACAGTGTGCAGGTTAGGAACCAGGCCATCGAGTATCTTTCATGAGTATTTCATTAGGTACTTCTTTCTCTCTCTTCTGTCTAGAGAGAATGATCCAAATGTTTTGAGACATTTCCAATACTACTTTGTGTTTTATTGATTCTTGGTAGAAGCTGTGAACACAAAATATTCAAGTAGTGAGAGAACCATTAAATTGGCATTCCTTGTCTTTTTCAGGAAATTATCGTAATCCACTTGTCATTTTCCAGTCCTTTGCTGCATTTGCCTTATTGCATTCACCAGGTGACAGATCTCAGGACATAATTATTCCCATATCTTTAACCCGTTCCTTGCGTTATGTGATACTATCTCCCTGTATTCCGTACATGCTGTATCGTGCTCGTTTTGAGCTCTTCATTATAGCCATACTTAATTAGTTAATTTTTTCATCATTGGACACCATACTGGTACATTATTTTCCCATTCGAAATTCTACATAGAAACTTAGGGCACATAAAGTAAGAGAATTAAAATGTTTGCAAAATCATTTCGAAGGCAGCGAAAATCTTGCAGTTCATTTGCTCAAACAATTTGTAGCATCGTTTACGGCATCGGTGATGCTGAGTATTATTGTAACATCAAAGTATCTGTGATAAGCGCAGAATAAAAATTTTCACACGAAATTAATTAAAAATTATCTCACTTTAAAAGCAATATTGGTTGGATGGGTTGGCAACGTTATCATCTGAAAATGCCATTGGCAAGGATTTAGATCCAGTTCAAATAATCCAAATATTTGCAGCTGCTGAGACCCTAAAAGTTTAATATTCGAAGTCAAAATTTTAACAGGTATGTGTATTACAAATGCTACTTGTCTATTGAATTGAATTTAAAAATAAATCATTTTTAGGTATTAAAAAAATAAATTGGAGGAAATAAATAACAAAATTGTATAATGTTATTTTAATCAGAATTTTTGTCCCAAAGCAAAATTGATTCGGGGTGCCACAACCATCTGAGCCAACCATGTACTCCCGACACTGTTTGTGGTGTCAGTATTTAGTCTTGCACCAACTTCCTGTTTATAGTTTTCTTCACATTTCTTTTCTATAAATTTGCTCACGTATTTATTTCTATACAGTGCACACTGGTTTGTGGACACCAGTCACTTCACTGATGCATGTTATTTACTTTTATAGTCTCTTTAACTTTTATCGTTTTCTAAACAAATTATCAAAGTAAACTACTGATTAATTTTGTTAATATTCTAAAAATTGGCAATTCCATGACTCGTCATTTGAAATATTTTCCGTCTGGTATTTGGCACTCTCTTGAGTACTGTTTATTTTGTATCACGTGCAAAACTCTGTTATTCACTGTGATTCATGGACAAAGCTATTTTTACTTCATACGCTCTAGGTGTACACTATCACCACCACACTGTAGCTATAGACTTAGTGTACACAGCCAATACCAGAACGTAACCACTCTTTTTCTATACTGTCACCACCAGAACGTAACTACTGTTTTTCTATACTGTCACCACCAGAACGTAACTACTGTTTTTCTATACTGTCACCACCAGAACGTAACTACTGTTTTTTATACCGTCACCACCAGCACGTAACTAATGTTTTTTTATACCGTCACCACCAGAACATATCTATGCACTGGTGTACACTATCACCAAAATGTAACCATGTCCATTGTATGCTGTACTGTATTTTATGGAATTGAAATTATTATCACTGTCATGTGATTGGTGTGCATTACACCAACTACGGCGTTGTATGATCCATACGGGTTTAGTAATTACTGGAAATATAATATTACAACACCTGTATATGACTTTCTTCACAGACTTGACCTCCGGATTACCTTCTCCGTGCAATGCTAACTAGCCCACACGGCTTAGAGCTTTTTTTTAATGTAATGAGAGATACTACTACTACTACTAGTAGTAATAATAATATTATTATTATCATTATTATTATAATTATTAATAGTAATATTAAAAATAACAGCAATAAAAGTAACAAAAGGATAAAAATTGCCAAATATTTGCTTCAGTTATATATGTAATAACTTAATATGTTCCTCTATATCCTTCGTTTCATACAATCATTATATATAAGAACATAAGAAAGGAGGAACACTGCAGGAGGCCTGCTGGCCCATACTAGGCAGGTCCTTTACAATTCATCCCACTAACAAAACATTTGCCCAACCCAATTTTCAATGCCACCCAAGAAATAAGCTCTGATGTGAAAGTCCCACTCAAATCCAACCCCTCCCACTCATGTACTTATCCAACCTAGATTTGAAACTACCCAAAGTCCCAGCCTCAATAACCCAACTAGGTAGACTGTTCCACTCATCAACTACCCTATTTCCAAACCAATACTTTCCTATGTCCTTTCTAAATCTAAACTTATCTAATTTAAATCCATTACTGCGGGTTCTCTCTTGGAGAGACATCCTCAAGACCTTATTAATATCCCCTTTATTAATACCTATCTTCCACTTATACACTTCGATCAGGTCTCCCCTCATTCTTCGTCTAACAAGTGAATGTAACTTAAGAGTCTTCAATCTTTCTTCATAAGGAAGATTTCTAATGCTATGTATTAATTTAGTCATCCTACGCTGAATGTTTTCTAACGAATTTATGTCCATTTTGTAATACGGAGACCAGAACTGAGCTGCATAATCTAGGTGAGGCCTTACTATTATGTTATTATAAAAAGTATCAGCATTTAATTCCACCGTTTCGAGATTTGTACCTGTGTGTACACTCCTGCACCATCAACCTTGAAGAGAGATGCCGTGATGCTTGTAAATGGGCTCTTCATCCAGGGAATTTGAGCTGCTCACCACTTGAGTCAATATAATTGCTTCCCATTCCTCAGGCGCTGTATGTACCCTATGATATTACAGCTTTCCCTTAAATA